TTGTTTATATATTATTATTTTTTGTAGTACCGTCGACTTCTCAATGTCAGTCGTCATTCGAATGATCGTCGCATTCGACGATTATTAATGTTAGTCAATAATATAATTGATTGTGAAGTTGGAAAACTAACAGAAATCTCATATTAATTCAAATTGAATTCTATCGATCATTAGTAACTAATAGTATGACGAGCATTGAGCAAGTATCTTCTTGTTTTATCATTAGATGGGCAAGAATAAAAAGCTTGTCAGTGCAGTCCCTTTCAGGCTAAAATGTGGAGCTCACATATCTTCTTTAGCTTAATTATACTAATATAAAATACGTAAAATAAATAATATCTGATAGACTCTTGACACTGTCTTATAAAATCGACGATTTATTCAATTTTAAAAAACAGAGGTTTAAAACGATTTTTTCATAAGATGTCACTGTCAACCGCAAGAAAGAGCAACTAGTATAGAGATGAGTCTGGTTTTGTTTACCATGTACATTTCAATTAAAAAAATGATGTATTGAAATAATTATTGATCATTCGATGTCCATATGAAATTCGCTAGACAGAAGGAATTTTTGTCTCTAATTGATTGGTAAATGTTTTCATACGATAAAAACTGGCCGTCTGATACTGCCATGACTATTGAGAAAGAAAGAAAGAAAGAACAAAGTACAAAAAAGCAAAAAAGGCAAAACGATAACCTCGCACTGATAGACAAAGACAAGCACACCTGGAAAGACAAAGTCAATATGCTAACGGGTATTCTCGCTGCTATATTTTTCGTTTTATTCGTAGCATATTTATGGCATATTCATCGAACTTATACTTTTTTTATTCGAATCGGCATTCCAGGTCCATCACCAACGTTTTTCTTGGGTAACTTGATGGAGTTGATGGAAAGAAAACGTTTTACATTATCGATAAAAGAATGGACGAAGAAGTATGGTCGAATATTTGGCTATTTTGAAGGACATACACCGATTCTTGTCGTGTCTGATCCGAATATTTTACAAGATATATTTATTAAATCATTTTCAAATTTTCATTCGCATCGTCCAATTGCATTCGATGACCCACATATGAAAAGCTGTCATCTATTCAATGCTCAAAGTCTTCGTTGGAAACGACAACGCTTTATTATTAACCCGACATTCTCATCGGCAAAACTTAAACAAATGTCCCCATTAATCAATCGTAGTGTCACTGCTTTAATGAAAAAACTAACCGAACAATATCAATCTGGTCAATCATTTGATATCTATGCATTTTTGAAACGTTTTACAATGGATACTATATGGTCGTGTGGATTTGGTCTGGATACAGACATGCAGAACAATCCCAATGATCGTTATCTTATTCAATCACAACGTGTATTCAGTGCAGAGTATTTGTTGAGTAAGATCATATTTTTGCAGGTATTTATGCCTGAATTTAAATGGTTCTGGGATACATTGCATGCAATTGATACTTTTGTTCGATGCCAACTTCACTATTATGT